ATACATATATATTAGATTTTTTTAGTGTCCGTGTATTTAAAAGAACAGTAAATTATCGAGCGTGAGACGAGTAGAATCGGATTTCTGAATTTCTGGCTCCGAACATGCCATAGTCAAATTGAGATTTTTTTTCTCATTAAACAAAAAAGAGTCGTCGTTGAGCTCGATCTCGTTAAAAACTTTGTTAGTTAACGAGTCAAACTTTGTAAAGATTGTTATGTTTGAAATATAGGAATATTTATAGCATAACTTTAACTTTTTAAATCTCTAGCTCGACTCGTGAAAATTTTTTGATAAGTCGAACACGGGTTTTGTTTTTCACCTCGATAACTTATCGAGGTATGCTCGATCGGCACGATTATAAGAACTCAAACCTGAACTCGAGTAGTAGAGATTCAAACTCGCTCACCTTGACTCGTTTCGATGTGAAGACAAATGAATATTTTTTTCTTTCACTAATATAGTTTATTACAACTTACAAGTCGTATGTCTTAATCAAACTAATGCTTGTGAGTTGCGATTCCGTGCTACAAACAAAATATACAGGGCTTCACAAGAGTTATCTCGTGATTAAATTATTATATTGAGAATCTATTGATTCATATTTGTAATTATATATATATATCTGAAAATGATGAACGAATAAGTCAGTGAGCAATAATACATTGACCAGTCAGCCATGAAATTCAACTAGGAGGACAATACATGTACTACGCTAATAGTAACTTAAGAAATATATAAACAAAAAATAGTTCTGTAAAACATATATAATTTTTATTTCAATAATACACTATTTGAAAAATCAATTTTTAGTTTTATTTAAAATGGCATTCATACGTCAACACATAATATTTTAATCATACTAATTTAACGCTACAAAATTCTAATTTCTTGTTTGGGAGATCAAATCACATGCGCGAAACCAGAATAACAATAATTCTCATGATTACACAAACCATTTTATTTGGCTTCTCAATCTTTCTTCTAATTTAAAATCTGATGATATTTTTTCATGACTAAAGCCAAATCTAGAACTTATCCAACAGTTGACTTTCAGTTCATGGCATGCATGCATGCAATAAATATCATATGAACCGGGTTTGAAATTTATATTCAGCTAGCAGTGTTATCTGGTATCTTGTGTCAAATAATTATACAAAATACAATTACAACAAAACATGTTTGGAAACTAATTTGAGTTCTATTTTGTAAATTCAAATTGTTTGAAAATAATTAATAGAATTTGATGAGAACCTAGAGTAATATATAAATGTTTGATATGTGTATTTCCAATAATCCAATCTCTAAATATGATAGTATATCATGACTCTTTTTCTTTTATATTTGTATGTCCTTTAATTTAGCCCACCTTTGCTTTTTCCACAAAACAAAACATCCTATGATTATGCTGATTGCCTTAATCCTGTCCATCTTGTATTAAATTTATAATTTATTTATTAATTTGGCGTGTATAATGATGGCTATTCTTATATTAACTAGAACCTAAACAAACTTATGTACGAATATTATTAATTTTAAATTAAGTGGACCCTAATTTTTGACATTATTCATTGGAGGTGATATTTTGGTCATTAACATGTATATTTTCTTGAACTGCAAGCCAGAGTTTTGGGAAGCTCACTATGTCCAATCTATTTGGTCAAAAAAATTGGCACAAACCCCTAATTGATGGTAACATGATTCTAAATTCAACTGTTTTTGGATAAATAATAGTGAAAAGAGCAATAATGTATGGTTACTTTTGGATCATGATTGTAAATCTATTACCTTTCACTACCAATAAATTGAACTATTTGCTTATTTGCTTATGTTTGGTTTGATTTGGACTCATTCATTATGAGGTTATGTTTGTATGTTTTCTAATAACAAAATCATTACAAAGTTATAGTGATAGTTCACTATATAAAAAAACCTCTCATATATTCATGAGATATTGTTTGAGTCTAACAAATCACTATCTTTAAAATCAGTTAAAATTCGACCTAAGAGCACCCACAATACATTGGGTCTAATTTTTATATATGTGGCATATAAATGGACTTAAGCCTTAAATGACATGCACAAATTCAAATAAAAAAAAACTCAAAAGTTATTCAATGCAAAAATAAAATAAAATACTAAGTCTAGCAAACATGTCAACCAATAAAAATACCCTTATATGTTTTGTTTATTAAAAGAGACCCAATGTATGGATGCTCTAACTTAATCAGGGAAAAATCGTGCATAGTGCGCTCGCGAGTAGGATTTAACCTTCCATTAATAGAAATTTAGTCCATTTATTGCAAAGTCACAATGACAAAAAGTTTTTGAATGGAATGCAGTTTAAAACTACCGATTAGTGAATTGATCATGTTAATTTATCCGACAATATTAAAATAGAATAGATTCATTATTCTTATAGTT